AGAGTGAGTGAGAGTGTGTGTGTGTGAGAGTGTGTGTGTGTGTGTGTGTGAGAGAGTGAGTGAGTGTGTGTAGTAATTGTCAGTTGGTGCACTAACCAGCTAATTGCTCTTCATTACCGGATCGAGGTGTTTTGTTGATGTAATTTGGTATTATTCAGCCTTATTACTATTTACAGTGTAACCTGATAAATGAGTCATGATCTGTCTCCTGATCACTGATTCCAGATGAATGGCACATTCGTTCTGTTGCAGTGAAGCCGCGCAGAAGATCATGGATGAGTGTTCGTGTGAACAGCTGCGCAGCCGGAAGTGACGGAACACGTGCACTGTGCGTGACGTCAGAGTTGGGGGAGTGACGCGAGTGCGTGCGTGATGACGTCGCGCGGAGATGATAAACGGGACAGACAGCAGGACGGAGCGACAGATGTGACGCGTCGATGAAATAAATCACCCGATAGATCGCGCTGGAATCGTCTGATCGCCGCGGGAGGAGGAGGAGGAGGATGAAGATCCGGCGACAGCATCACTGTGCATCCCTATCTGGAGCTCCAGCGACGGCTGCATGTGTGTGTTAGTCTGCAGGACATTACTTGTCTTCTTCATCATCATCTTCATCATCATGAACAGCGGCGTTCAGCATCCGAGCGCAGCGACTCGCGTCCTGTCGGAGTGAATCACTTTGATTCAGATTCAGATTCAGCATCAACGCGAGCACAATAGCGGAGCAGATCTGTGAGCCGGCAAAATGGGGTATGTTACCATGCTCTTACTGTGTTTACTACAGCTGCGGCTTCATTGAGGACAGTAACGTTACTCTGATCTGATTGAATCACTGCACGCTGTGGGGATGAATCGTTTGGTCCGGGTCATGTTCAGAACACTGGGTCAGTTTGTGAGGGCTGGTTTCATGATCCTTCACAGAAGATGATTGACTCAGTGGAGATTTGTGGGTTGCATGCATGAGATCAGTCAGTGTTGTCTTGCTGCGTTTTCCCTCCAGTTTTCCAAAGCAGGGCCAAAAATAGCCGCCGTATCTGAAGTGTGCTTCTCTCAAACCGGACAGAACGAACCAGCTGTCAGAGGATTCTGCGCTGCTGCACGCCGATTGGCTGAGGCCGAGATGATGTCATCACTGCCCGTGACGTCACCGTGAAGTCGTTGAATGTGTTTCTGTATGGTTCTCTTCAGGCGGCTCGTTCTAGATCAAACAAACCTCTTTTAGATCAAATAAACGAGATTCTAAGTTAATATTTCAATAGTTTAGATAGACGTTGGTTTACTCTGTACACGTTTCCTGTTCGTAAAGGAAGAGTTCAGCCAAAAATGAAAATGTGCTCATCCTCAGTTCATCCGAGATCAGGATGAGTGTGTTTCTTGAGCTGTTTAAACGCTGCTTGATCTGTGCAGATTTCTCTCCTGATTCAGACCAGAACACTTTTTCACTGGAGGAAGCGTTATTATGGATTATGGACTCGTGTTTTAGTTAAAAACGTCTTAATGCTGGATTTGTTTCAGCTTTTGTCTTCTCCAGATGTTAACTGATGGACTGGAGTGCTGTGGATTATTGTGATGTTTTTATCAGCTGTTTGGACTCTCATTCTGACGGCACCCATTCACTGCAGAGCATCCATTGCTGAGACACTGATGCAATGCTACATTTCTACAAACCTGATGAAGAAACAAACTCATCCTGATCTCAGATGAACTGAGGGTAAGAACATTTACAGCACATTTTCATTATTGCGTGAAATGATATTTTAATTTAAGCTGCCAAAATAAATATTTAAAGAGCACAGTCAAGCACAACATTTTTACACAAAATAGACTAAAAGCATGTTTTTTCTCTGTATTTCACCTTTGCTGGTTGTTTGCTAATCCAGCCTTCTAATAAACCTGGCATATAGTCAGATCTGTGATGAATTACAAATGAAAAATGGGTCTGTTAAGCATAAATGTTAATGTAAACAGTGTTGATCGTCCATTGACAGGCTGCTGGTAGATTGTGGAAATGACAGAAAGAAAGCGATCAAACGCATTGATCAGATGTTGATCATTTCAAAATGAACAAAGATCTGATGAATCTGTTCACAGACATTATGCTGAAAAATACACAGAATATTCCTTATAGTAAATATTTTTATGTGAATTCAAAGAAATGTTCCTCCACATGAGCTATGTGTGTGTGTTTGTTTGTGTGTGTGTGTGTTTGTGCGGTGTGTGAGTATGTGTGTTTGTTTGTGCGGTGTGTGTGTGTGTGTTTGTTTGTTTGTTTGTGCGGTTTGAGTGTGTGTGAGTGTGTGTGTGTGTGTGTGTGTTTGTGCGGTTTGAGTGTGTGTGTGTGTGTGTGT